GAACCGCGGTCCCTGTGCTTTGCCAAGCTTGTTTCAAGTAGGTGCTTTAGACCACTGAGCCATCTCTCCAGCCCCTTCAGATTGGATCTTGCTACACACTAAATTGCCTAGGCTTGGTTGCTCCTGCCTCAGCCTCTAGAATAGCAGGGAATCCAGGCGTGAGTCACTACCGCTGGCTCTTGTGGTAGTTTGTTTTACATTTCTTCCTTATCTATTTTTATTTTGAGATAGGGTCTCCCTAGGTTGCCCAAGCTGGGCTTGAATTTAGGATTCTCCTGCCTGAGCCTCCACCATGCTGGGACCGGAGGAGCACAACCGCCTCATCGGGTGCAGGCTGCGGCTCTGCGCAGGGGCTCCTCCTGGCTAGGCTGAGGCCTCTGCATCCCTGCTCAGGATCTCGACACTGAGGGCCTAGCGCGGCCTCAGCGCACAGCTAGACACTGCCCTTTCCACCACCTCCTTTTTTCTCTCTTTCTCTCCAAGCTGAGCAGGAGCTGGCAGCAGGGAAAGTGGGGTTCCGTGACCACGAACCTGACCGGTCTGAAAGAGTACCCGACACTCTGCTCTTATCCTGTAGCTCTCAAATGTTCATAATGTACATGGACGGACGAGGTGGTGGATACCTATAATCCAAGCACTCGGGAGGCTGAGAGGAGGATCGTTATAAGTTTGAAACCAGCCTGGGCTGCAAAGTCAGCTGAAGGCCGGCGTGAACTGTAGAGCAAGACTCGGTCTCAAGAAGACCTAAACACACACACACACACACACACACACACACACAAGGAAGCTTCAGATTAGTTTTCTTCTAACATTTTGGTTGTTCCTCAGTTCCATTGAAGAGTATTTTTAAATTTTTTTATTATAATTTAAGTTTTTGAATTTTTATTCCTCTGTTTCGTTGATGTTGTTGAGACAGTCTTGCTCTGCAGTTCAGGCTGGCTTTGAACTCCTGCCTCAGCCTCTGAGTGCTTGGATTACAGGTATCCACCACCTCGTCCGTCCACATCTGACCTTGGTTTCAGGGCTTTCCCCGCAGAACTGCTCTCACCATTTAAAAAGAAAAAGAAAGAAAACAGGCAAGGCATGGCTCTCACTTGGTCCCTAAATTGCCCAGGCTAGACTTGAATTTGTAGTCCACTTGCTTCAGTCTCCCTGGTAGCTGGGATTAAAGATGTGTGCAGGACGGTGCTCAGCAATGTTGTTTACCAGCATCTAGATAGATGTCTCTGTTCCAGGAAGGTTGGATGTGTTGATGAATACCAGTTTTAAAAAATCACAGAGTTAGGGGCCAGGGAGATGGCTCAGTGGAATAAGCGCTTCCCTGGCAAGTGCAAGGGCCTGAGTTCAATCCCCGGTTCCAAAAAAAAAAAAAAAATCACAGAGCCAGGAGGGCAATCCTGGCACTGTGTGTGAGCAGAGTTATGCATGAGGGAGGGAGCGGCACAGGGAGTTTTCATTCCAGAGGAAATAATCCAGACCAAGAACAAGCAGATCAAACTATGCAGCTCTGTGGCTGCCAAATTGTGGTTTTTGACAGATCTCTGCATCAGGGAAGATTACTCCCAAAAAGAGATCTTGTGAGCTTTGAAGGCGAAACATTGTGAGGAGGAACTGGACTTCAGGGCTGTGGTGACCAATGAGGTGGTGCTGACAGTTGAACAAGGAGACCTGGGTCTGCAGATGAGTGGTGAACTCTTCTCTGCCTCCTTCCAGGTGGTGGTGGTTGGGAGAGTCCCCACCCCTCCGATGCAGAAGGACAGTGACATCACTGCTGCTGTGTCATCTGGAGAAGATGGGCTGTCAATTGATGAACCAACCTCAAGCCAACCTGAATTGTGTTAATAAATTTTGGACATTTCAAGAGTTAGCTGGCCACGGTGTTCCTCTGTCAGGTACTTTCTCTTATGGTGGCCATGACAATTTTGCTATGTACTACTAATCGGATTTTTTTGTTTGTTTGTTTTTCCGGAGCCGGGGATTGAACTCAGGTCCTTCCGCTTGCCAGGGAAGCACTTATTCCACTGAGCCATCTCCCCGGCCCCTACTAATTGGTTTTGAAACTGTCTCATTGCTATTTGTTTCCCAATAAAATTTTAAAAAAGAAAAAAAAAAGAAGAAAAATTTGCTGAAATGATTGGTGAAGTAAAAGTACTAGAATTCCCAATGGTAGTAAAGAATACACGGGGTCATAGAGGCAAGCACCATTTGGCTGATGTAAGCCATCTTATTCACCATGAAGCTCCATACCTGTTTCAGAAGTATGTGAAGGAATCTCACGGACGGGATGTGCGTGTCATTGTCGTGGGAGGCCGTGTAGTTGGCACCATGTTACGCTGTTCCACAGATGGGCGGATGCAGAGCAACTGCTCACTAGGCAGTGTGGGGATGATGTGCTCATTGAGTGAACAAGGAAAGCAGCTGGCTATCCAGGTGTCTAACATTCTGGGAATGGATGTGTGCGGCATTGACCTATTGATGAAAGATGACAGCTCCTTCTGTGTCTGCGAGGCCAATGCAAATGTAGGTTTCATCGCCTTTGATAAGGCTTGTAATCTAGATGTAGCTGGTATCATAGCGGACTATGCCGCCTCCCTTCTGCCCTCTGGCCGGCTCACCCGGCGCATGTCCCTGCTCTCCGTGGTGTCCACGGCCAGTGAGACTAGTGAGCCGGAGCTGGGTCCCCCTGCCAGCACTGCTGTCGACAACATGAGCGCAAGTTCCAGCTCTGTCGACAGTGACCCTGAAAGCACGGAGCGAGAGCTGCTCACCAAGCTCCCAGGGGGCCTGTTCAACATGAACCAGCTGCTAGCCAGTGAGATCAAACTCCTGGTGGAGTGACTCCACCAGCCAATAACTAACCAACAAAACCCTTGTAAAATTTTCTTTTCAGTTCTTTTTTTCTTTTTTAACCAACTTGCAATGCTGTTCATGTAAGATGCTTAGGAGGATGAGAGAAAATGTGTAAGATTATTTGGAGAGAAAAGGGGAAATAAATGAGACCTCTGCTGGTAACATATGCTGACTTTCATTTGCAGACACTACAGAGAG